GCCCTAAGCCATCAGTCAGACATCCCCCGAGGACTCCCGGACTGCGAGAGGGCACAGGCCAGGGTGAGGGACAATCCCTTGAGTGCATGAGTTTCATGCACCAGGCCTCTAGTTGTCATAATAATTAAAATATTTTTGGATGTACTGAATTTAACAAATTCAGAAAGAGAGTGTGTGTGATAGAAAGAGAATCACCCATTTGACACTTATAGGTTCAAATCTATTTGTCAAAACTTTCCTCTCTTTCATTGGCTCTATTTTGTAGCTGTTATATATTTGAATTAATTTTTTCCATTGAAAAAATTGTTGGGCAACTATTAAGGGCTACCACTATATTACTAGCAGTAAACAGCCAATCAAGGTGCCTGCCCTTTTGCAGTTTTGTCCGTGAGAAAGGAAGGCTCCGGGGACTGCCTACCATGTCCCTTCCTAATGGTGGTCTTCATTTCCCCACAGTTGATGTGGAAGATGAGGACTTTACAGCCTCTATATCGAAGCAGAGTTGCATTACTGAACAAACGCAGTATTTCTTTGATAATGATAGTAAGTCATTCAGTGGTGTATTAGACTGCGGAAACTGTTCCAGGTAATTTTTCTTCCTCATTTCTGGATCAAAGAAATTGTGTTTGCTTTTATAGTCATTACAGAAAATAATGGAGATTGTTGTTGTTTGAGTCAGAGAAATATGGATAACTGTTTTAAGATGAAAATATCAGAAATTATAATTTTTAAATTTAATTCTAACTTAGATAAGTTATAGTCCCTTCAACTATAATAATCGTTCTAGATAAAAAACCCACTTGTAGCTAGAATAGAGAAATTATATTTTTGTATTTTTTGTTTAAAGTAACTCATATTAAAATGTTTATAGAGAAATTTGCAGAATCATTCATTCTAATAAGATTAGGGTTTGCCGAAACCGGTTTGGCTCAGTGGATAGAACGTCGGCCTGCAGACTGAGGGGTCCCAGGTTCGAGTCCGGTCAAGGACATGTACCTGGGTTGCAGGCACATCCCCAGTGGGAGATGTGCAGGAGGCAGCTGATCGATGTTTCTAACTATCTCTCTCCCTTCCTCTCTGTAAAAAATCAATAAAATATTTAAAAAAAGATTAGGGTTAATTATATCAGTAATTCCAAGGCAGATGTATATATTTTTTTACATTTAAACTATTTTCAGGGGTGTGTATTCTAATTCAAGGTCAAGGTTAATGTTAGTCATCACCAGTATCCATAAAAAATCTTCAAACATTTTCGGCAAAGTGGGGATTTTTGGTTTTCAGAGGAGAGTGATAATCCATGTCACAGGTCTGCTGAGAACGGAGCAGAAAGGCAAAGAGTTGGGATACTTTGTTTTTAATGACTGCGGGCTGGTTATTTAGAAGAAATGTTAACATAGAGAAGAGAAAATACAAGGAGATGAGGTTAATCTGAGCATAGAAAAGGGCTGGAATTGTTAGTTGCTAGGGAT